TATGGAGAATTCCCAGTTTTTCATGAAACTACTCATTTATACTTTCAGCTAGAAAAACCATTCAAACTCTCAAATTTCCACATATTTCAGAAATTTTAGCTGTCATTCTACTTTTCAAATCCCCAGTAAACAAATTCATACATTGACATAGAAACTCCATTGAGACTTTAAATTGTTCATGACAAGCAGGACCTTCTGGCATTAGGTCATCTTTTTACCTACCATACCTTTCATATTTTTGACACAATCTCAGTTCGAAATTCATGAACATTTCAGCTCTTCTTAGACCTTTCCATTAGTGTCTATAGCATGGAATGGAAGCGAAAATCTCTATTAAATGAAGCCTGTTAAACACAGGAGACACAGCAGTCCTATCACCATGGCAACACTTAACTGCAGTTGGCAACACACAGCTGATTGAGATGAGCTAATTAACCCAGTTTGACAGAGAGACAGGCAGACATACAGGCAGAGAGAAAGAGAAACAGACACAGATAGACAGAAAGAAAGACCGACGGAAAGAAGGACAGACAGGTTCAAGTATTTTTTAAGATTTAAACTAAATACAAATTTACTAATGCAAATTAAATCCAGCAGTTTAGCTTTCTCCACTTTGTCATCTTATATCCTATCATTCAATTGGAATCTTCATTCAAACCTTTTGAGGTACATTAAACTGTTCAGACCCATTCATGGTAATTAGACTCTTTAACAGTTTTCCAACTACAACACTCCTTCAGTTACTTCCAACAAACTTTGGTGAAACCACTCACCTACCGCAGTGAAGTAAGAAACCTGTGCAACATTTAGGGGGGTAGGTGAGTGCAGTCTCTGTGTGTATATTAAAAAAAAATTAAATAAATAAAGAGTGCAACAACATGGGAAACAGCGTAAAGAGTAATCATTGTGTTTTAGTGCAACAAAAACACACTGTGCTCTGTTTCCTAATGGACAGAGAGATGTGAAGACTCTAGAGATGAAGACCGGCAAACTATTCCACAAGCGCAGGTGAGAAACTGAGGTGAAGGAGGAAAAGCAGAGAGAGGAGTGGAGTGAATAAACTAATAATAGCTCTTCTTCAAGGGAAAGGATAATCCAGAAAGCAAAGATAGAAGGGAGAGTTGAGAAAGGCAGAAGCAGTAAGGGTGAGGAATCAAGTCACGAAATTTAACGGGAGTGACGGAGAGGACTAAGAAAGGTGGAAAGGAGACGAGAAGTGATGAGGAAGAGGACAAGATGACTGGTTTCAAACAACTTCTAAGTAAAAGCCCTTTATTCTTTTTATATAGACTGAAACATCAGAGAGGCCTCTTTAAAAAAAAAAAAAATACCTTGAGAAATTGTCTCATCATCACACGATGGGCAGGTTGCATTAGGGCTTGGACGAATAGTGGACTGCATTTTGCACTTTAACTACTCGCCACACACACGCAAACACACACACGCACCATAAACCTGACTGCATTATCCTCTTCCAAATGATTTGACCGCCCTGCACCAGGCTGCATATTCCCCTGCTGTCATGGGAGCCAGCAGCATTAAAGGTTCAATGACAACTTTATTAGAGGTGAGGGTCTGGAGTCTTAACCAATTATAAAGCTTGAATAAATGTCACGCTAATTATTTCCAGAAAGCCGTGAAATTGTAGTCGATTCTGCGTGAATAATCTACCTTCCAACACAATTCCACAGCTTGGTGCATGAGATTCATTTAAAAAGTGTGTGTATGTGTGTTTGTGTGTGTGTGTTCATTCACATTGCTATGTGTGGTTGATGTAATAGCCAAAGCTTCATTCAGGCCTATTTCACAATGGCTGAATAGAGCTCTTATCAAGGTGCATCAGCTTCATTTAGTTATTTTATTTGGTTGCAGTTTTTTTTTGTGTGAGGCAATCAGTCAGATGTCAAGCCACAAGTTGCTGGATCAGCTCATTGATTTGGATAAAAACATAGAGAGGAGAGGAGAGAAAAGAGAAGAAGAAAATTCATTTTCACAATAAGGGAGAAGTCCCATATGGGAGAAGCAGGTGTGACTTTATTCAGCATGTGCACTTTTTGCTGTTCCCTGGTGACCAAGATGGAGATGATGATATGACTGGGAGCTACCTCAAGTATTCTCCTGAAAAGGTTGTACACAAAGGCCAAAGTCAGCTTCCATAAAATGTGTTGAATGGCCAAAATCCCAGAGTCTGCCATCAGAGACCCCCTGAGTCAAGGGTGTAGGTTTGGTGTGTGTGCAGCCTTAACCTGATTCATATCTATTCTGTGGTGGGTCTGTGGGACCGAATATTATTAAAAGTAATTAGTTTGACATTTTTGGGAAATACACTTCGACAGCCATGAAGCAAGTACATTATCTTACTTTAGCATAGCATACAACTGCAAACACAAGGCCAAGCCAACCTAGCTCTGTCCAAAGTTCAAACATTTGAGTGAGATATTCAAGAAAAAAAATGTGAGACTTAGATAGATGCAAAGTGTGACATTTTGAGCTTTAGGAAGTTTGACAGTCTGAGACAGTCTGTTTCCCTGACTGTGATGTTAGCTTTGTTCAAGTGGGACAAGTTACACCTTTATCAGTAAGCCAGAATACTGGAGAATAAGTGGGGGGTTCTGGCATACAAGCATACCCAAAGTGACGGGGTTAATTAAAACAGATGCTCCCCAAAATGAAGTTTCCACTGAGACCATCACTGTTACACATGTGTAAAGGGTGGAATAGTGTGTATGGGATCTACTGTTAGTATCCTAAAAGAAAACAAACTGAAGATGTGTCCTTCTGAAAGCCATCAGGTTGCTGACACTGGCCTTTGTCACACCAGAATCAATCCCACTCAACACAAGTTACCCGAGGGACTGCTTACATGTCCCCCACCCTGCCTCTTCATAGACCTCCAAACTAAACACTCAACTTCATAAGTTGTTTACTGCCAAGGTTTCACATTCACTTTTCAATAAAGTTGACTCAAAAGGGGCTATATGCAGTAATCTAACTTTGGCTTTCTGAAAGTGTTTTTTGCAGTGGAGAAAAATCTCCCTGAGGGCAGTGTTTGGAGACTGGAATAAATTATAGACTGCTTTATTTAGGATTATACGCCTGCGAAGGGAGGCAATCAAAGAGACGCCAGCATTGATTTTGTTTTGAGAATGGTCGGAAATCCTGGTAAATGCTATAATGTCCATTTTCATACATTTCCTGACTTTTAATGTGGAAAAAGAAAATAAATAAAACAAGCTGTTCATTTTAGGCCCCTGTTATACTACTTATATAAGAGCAAGTAAAATACTCAAAAAGTCACAATTGAATAATCAATCATCTATGTGATACAGAGTCATTTGAAAAAGGAATCATGGTGTTTTTCTACTTACTCAACAGTAGCAGTAATATGTTATATTTTGTGTTACTCAGCGCAACATTAACTTGCTAGCAATAATTTTAGCTCAGCTACTAAATCGTCACATGACCCTCGCCTTGCAGGTTGTAGTGGCACCTCGAAAGTCCCCCACACCAGATACATCTGGATCAGACTCTAGCTCAGTGAGATCCTAAAAATACCATAGCGTATAATTCAAATAATAGCTCAGGCTTTTATTAGCTTCAATTACTGAACTCAACCTGCCTATATTCGAAACAGGTGTCTATATGGGACAGGCCTTCAATTCCTTTAGCACGAATGTCTTCCTCAGCACAGATGGGAAATGCTATTACATTTTAAAGTTTATTTGAAAAGGTATATTGTAATATCACTTAAAAATGTACTAAAAATAAGGATATTGGATAATATATCAATTACGAATCATTCATTTGATCTACAGAGAGCGAGAGACATGCACAGACAGAGAGCAGCATGTATCAAAATACTGTTAGCCAACCTTCGAATTTGTAGCCAGCAAGGTAACTTGTTTGTTTTTTTACTTTGGTGCTCAAGGTTTCCTTAAAATGAATTGAACAATGAGAATCTAACTGATCTAACAATGTGTTATATAACAAAACAGTTGTAACTTCACATAGGTGATCCAATAGGTGACCCAAGCAGTTCAGAACCCGGTCAAGGGGTGGGCTTTAAGAGGTTTTATACATCCAAAGAATCCAAAAAATCTAGACCAGGCATCTACTTGAAACCAGCGTTTATTTTTTAATTGAAGTTTTACGGTATTTAGTCCCTGCAAGAAACCAAGACCATTGGAAGGAAGATATGACCCTCAACTCTAACCCTACACAGGGTCTTGTCAAATTTTGCCTTTTTTCCAATGTTCCCTCCAACGTCATTATAATAATAATAATATTTTTTATTTTCAGAATATCATACAATAAAATTATACCACACTAATCAGTTCTG